CTGAAATTAAGATTGCAATCGCTACTTTTTCTGTTTTCCATTAGTTCGGCATATTTCATTCCGTCCCTTTATTATGAGCCTGTGTGTGTTACTGCATGAGAGATGGGTCTCTTGAAAATAGCATACCCTTGCTCTTTGTCTAGCTTGCCACTCTGTGCCTTTGAAGTGGGGCATTTAGGCCATTTACATTCAAAATTAGTATTAATATGTTTGAATTTGATTCCATTATTGTGTCGTTAGCTGGTTATTATGCAGACTTTTATGTACGGTTGATTTATAGTGTCATTGATCTTTGTACTTAAGTGTGTTTTTGTAGTGGCTGGCTTTCCTTTCCATAGTTAGCATTTCTTTCAGGAGCTCTTGAAATTCCCTCAGCATTTGCTTGTCTGAAAAGGAACTTTTTTCTCCTTCACTTATGAAGTATAGTTTAGCCAGTTATACAATTCTTCTTTGAAATGATTTTCTTTAAGAATGTTGATTATACATCCCGTCTCTTCTGGTTTGTAAGGTTTCTTTTGAGGGGTTCACTGCTGATCTGATGGACTTCCCTTTGTAGGCAACCTGTCCTTTCTCTCTAGCTGCCTTTAACATTTTTGCTCTCATTTTGACCTTGGAAAATCTAATAATTATGTGTCTTGGAGACAACCTTCTTGTGAAGTATCTTGTGAGGGTTCTTTGCAGTTCCTGAATTTGGATGTTGGCCTCTCAAGCTAGGTTAAGAAAGTTCTCATGAATAATATCTCATGAAAATGTGTTTTGATTTCATTATCCTGAGATGTCAGTGAGGTTTAGATTTTAGATCTTTGCTTATATCCATATTCTGTATTTTATTCCTGTCTATTCAGCCAGCTTGTTAAGAACCCTGGCTGGACAACTAGTATGGTTTTATGAAGGAAATAAGGCACTCTGACTTTTTGAGTTGTCAGAGTTCTTGCACTTGCTCTTTCTTATCTTTGTGGGCTGATTTTCCTTCAATCTTTGAAGTTGCTGTTCTTTGGATGGGCTTTTAAAAAATTATCTTTTATCCTACTTGATGGCATTGTAGATGGAGCACTTGTGGGTCCAACAATATGTGTACCTTCTGCATACTTTCCTGCAGGCAACCATGGCCTCTCAGGGTGGGAGTGAGTGCGTTGTGCTCTGTGCCTAGTTTTGCACCATAAGCAGTGTTGGTACAGGGATGGAGAACCAGTGGGAATGTGGCTGGCAGGTTCTGTGCTCATCAATACTCTGATGGCAATAGAGGTGCAGTGGGGGTCAAGGGGTGGGGTGCAGTCATGCCATCAGCAGTGGCATGGCAGGGTTACTTGCACATGTGTGCTGGTAAGGAAAGGGAGGAAAAGTCAACTTGTATACATCGACATGAGCAAATTTATATGGGGATTGTCGTGGATTAATGCATGTAGGCCAAGTGGGCAAAGTGGCACGGGGTGGCTGCAGAGGGATGAGGGAGATGGCAGGCTGGTGTCCATGGGGACTGCTCTCCTGGTGCTCTCTGCCAGTCACATGAGGTCTGCCAACATATAAGCTATGATGTGGCCCCCAGGAGGTATCCCTCCAGGTACCTGAGGATGCACTGCAAGCAGGTGTTGCCAGTCTGGAGCTTCAGGACAGGCCAGCCTACCGAGAAGTGCTCATTTTGGACTGGCCTCATCTCATGGACAAGATTACTCTGAAGAGTTCAGGTCCAACACTTTCCTTATGGCTAGTCTCCTATGGGAGCAAGTCATGCCTATGGTGATAGGAGTCCCTGGCTGTGTTCCACTACATACACTCCCACATCAAACTTTCTGGGCTCTGCACTGGCTGGAATTCTGCTCTTACCAGTTGTCTAAGTATCTCTCATTTCAAATTCAAGTGTTCTTGGTGGTCTTTGGGTTCTCCCCCTTCTATCCAGCATCTGTGTCTTCTCTCCATCCACTCTCAATGCTTTACCTCTGAAGATCTGCTAGAAGTGTGCCAGTCATCCGATTGTCCTGGTCCCTTGGCGGCATATGTTCATCCTGGCTGTATGTAGTCAGCCATCTTGCCACTTTAACCAAAACTAAAAATGTTTAAATGTGAATTATACTAACCCTGGTATTCTAGCCTTCAAAACTGACTAATTTATTATAGCCAATCCATTTAAAATGGATAATTAGGCCAGGGGCGGTGGCTCAGCCTGTAATCCCAGTACTTTGGGAGGCCGAGGCGGGTGGATCACGAGGTCAAAGAGACCAAGACCATCCTGCTCAACATGGTGAAACCCCGTCTCTACTAAAAATACAAAAAATTAGCTGGGCATGGTGGCGCGTGCCTGTAATCCCAGCTACTCAGGAGGCTGAGGCAGGAGAATTGCCTGAACCCAGGAGGCGGAGGTTGCGGTGAGCCGAGATTGCGCCATTGCACTCCAGCCTGGGTAACAAGAGCGAAACTCCGACTCAAAAAAAAAAAAAAAATGGATAATTACACCTTACAGATTTTCAGAGAAGAGTGTATTTGTTATTCTTTCCTTTTTTTAGTAATTGACTTTTGCTTCCCATGTTTAACTCATGGCATTTATTTAGTTACACTAGAGCAAATTGCTATTTAATGCTTTATACATTTTATGGAAATTGTAATAATTGGTCAAGTAAATAAAAGAAGGTCAATTAATAAAGCCCTAAAAGCATTTGTTGCATTCATATGCTAATTTGAAATTATGAATTTTTAATTTTTCCATGAAAATTACCATTTAAATATTTTTAAAATTTTCACCATTATACAAATCTCAACATGTAATTTTATTTTATTTAGTCTCTTAATAATTTATTCAATTAAAAAACAGGTGTGCATATTTGAAAGGTACGAATAAAAAATCATATTGCTCCTCAAATCCCAAATTATCATTATTTTTATCTTTGTATTGAGTATTTTACTGAGTTCCAATATTTATCTGAATAATATTTAATATACCAGGAATATGTCCTCAAATGGAAGCAGTGCACTAGTTTCAACTTACGATCCTTACATGGTATTCAAAAAACAAAGCTTTTTTTTTCCAGAAATGTAAAGAATATTAGATTTCTGATCTTGTTTACCACGTCATTCAGCTGCAAAAGTTATAAATTTAGTTTGTTCATCTGTTTTTTGGACTTAAATGTAATCCAGAAAAATATTTCATTTACCATGGTGTAAAACCATTGCTTATAGTAACCAAGCTGTTATTCCAATGTTCACTGTAAGATGCAAATAGCTCTGTAAACAGGTCTACCTTATCTACTTAAGTATTTTAATACATTACTTTTCTCAGAAAATGATCTTTCACAGAATTTGTTTTTGATACATATACGCTGTAAGCATGGAAAGTTCTATAACAATTACTATCATGTCATATGATGTGTGTTGATGTAAGCCATATAACATCTACATTAATAAAATTTCCATTGACATTAATAGATGAGCTCCTTATTGGCAGGGTGACTATGCAATAATTTCATCTCCCATGAAGGGCAAAGAACAGAAATAAAGAAAACATGGGCATAAGCCTACAAAAGTTTCCACTAAGTACTTGGTTACCTGTAGCTACAAATGGTCTCAAAATCTAGTTATTATGTTTATCGGAGTTTCTCTGTCATTCAAATCATTTATCTTTTTAACCAAATAAATACACAAATTCTCTGGCCAAATAGCAATAAGAGTTTTGTTATTACTATTACTTTTTATTTTGTTTTATTTTTGAAAAATGCAGTTCTATTTATAAATTCATTGTCTAAAAGAAAATAAAACATATTGAGAAGAAACTTTAATACTACATTTTATCATTTAAAAATTATTATTATTTTTTTCTCTAACCATGAATAACAGCACCAGTTAATCTTGGAAAATTCTCCCTTTGGCCTGGAAATAACCATGTGAATACTCTCTTTTGCAAGGCAAGAATGTACTCATTTTAGCAAGAGCATGTACATTAGGCCACACCAATGACACAGAAAAGATTCCATCAACGTATGCCTCCATGTTACTCCTCGCTAAAGAACTTGGCTGTTTCAGGAATGCAATAGTATAAATCTGCCAAGAAGCGCAAGGGTTTCACAGCTACATCTCTTCATAATGAAATTTTATTGAATAAGAAATTCTTTGAATGAATTGGGTCACAGTGATCAAGGCGAATGAAAGCTAAGGAGAAATATAGTGCCTGAGAAATAATTTGCCATAAAGGTGAGAGAGGATTGAGCCATTATGTGCCTCACTACAGTTAGATGAACAATGAAGAGTGATTATTTGGTCACAGAATGGCCACATATAGCTCACAGGCCTGTTAGCTATGTATTAAGAAAAAAAAAGTGAGTCTCTGAAAAGTATGTGCCCATGTGTGAATTGGAGGTACTGAAAAGTAAGACTTGGAGCTAAGCAGTTTTTGATATAAGGCCACCTTCACCATGTGTGACTTGGGAGTGACCTGCTTGGTTTTGCAAGCCGGTGTAGCTTGAATAAATGAGTAACATATTGTACTATACCTTGAGACCCACTGTTAGAGACTGATGAGAGCAGACAGCCAGCTTCACCTGCAGTGGTTAGTAGAGCCTTTTCTTCAAAACGTCTCATGCCAGAAAGATACACCAGGCTTCTAACTTGAAAAACTTAGTGAGCTGATCCAGAAGGCAGAAGCAAGCATCAGGTAAGTCAAAAGGATTATCAGGAACTGTTTCTGTATGACATGAAAAGTCTATCTCATCTTCTGTTTCCCATGTACGACTGCGAAACTGTATAAAAACTGAAGGTCTTTCAAATACATATTTTTAAACTCAAGAAAACATTGAATTTTCAGGTAGGAAATACAGTATCTCTTTTGAAAGGAAGCTGTCACTACTTTTTAGACAAAATTTGTGAGATCCAGAACCACAGAAGTTAAATATTCATTCACTCAAAATATGTAGAACATATACTCTGTGCCAAGAAATATAAATGTGGTTAAATTCAAAAAATAAAAAAATATATATATATTTGTAGGAAGAAATGAAAAAAATTATAAGTCACTCTGATTTTATGTGAATTTACTATTCACAATCTTTCAATAGCATGTGATTTTAAAGCTATTATTAACATATCCAGTCTGGTGTTCCAAATAAAGTAGAAAACAACATGCAATTATTTCCACCATAGGTTGCCACTGTAATACTGTTTTTTGTAGAAGAAATTTAACAATGCATATCAAAATTCTCAAAAATGATTGTGGAATCAGAATCTAAGAATTACTCTTAAAGTAATAATTAAGTATATGGACAATAATTTACATCTTTATCCCAGAGAATCATTTAAGAAATAATAAATATCTAATAAAAGTTACTGTATAAACTGTTTTGGCAAAAACGTTATAATAATACACAAACACTAAAATTATATTTGATATTGACATATTATGTTACATACTAAATTATATCACACAAGTTAAAAACACATCACAAAAGAGAAAAGATGATATGATCACATCTACATATGTAGGAAACATAGGGTAGTGATTTTAATCTTATTTCTCTTGATATATCTATTTAAATACCTATATAATTAAAAGTTTGTGTACTAAAATAATTATTCTTAACATCTATCTACAGAGAAAAAAAGTTATGAATAATGACAGTCTCGGAAGGGGATCTGATAAATTCTATTGTCTTTACTAGTAATGTTTACTGTCCTTAGCTTCCAGGCTCTGAAGTCAGAAGTGGTGCAGCAGGTGTGCTTGACAGACAAAGCATAATTGTCACTGAAAAAGAGAAAAAATAATTTTACGATAGATCTCTAAAGTCAAAATCTTCAAACTAACCATAGGTAATGTACATAATTTTAAAACACATAATTAAATTTTAACAGCTGTTGTCAAGGAAATAACATTATGCAAGTATTGTGTGGACACATTCAAACTTTTCATATACTTAAAACAAAGCACTTAAAGTGAAACTTGAGTATTTTTTACAAATACAAAATGGAGTGTAAGCGAAAAGGTAATCAGATTTGACAATTAAAAATTCCAAACATATTAAATAGTTCTACAAACTAAGAGAAAATAACCATTGTTGAAAATTCAAGCAGAACACATATAAAACTGAAATCAGAGGAACATTCTAATAGTGAAGATTTTAATGATTTGAGTTATATAATAAAAAGCAAAATATTTGATAATACAAAAATAAAGTTTTTGTAAGGAAATAAGCAACCATACTAATTGGATAGACCATAGTGCAATTAGGGGAATAAAAGAAAAATGCATGCATGAAATGAAGAGACATGTACAGAAAGTTTCTATAATTCATTTTAAAACACTCAAATAGAACAAAAAGAGAACAACATGATCTGCTTCTCAAGCTATCAAATTTCCAAAAGGAGCATAAACACATAAACAGCAATAATCATTTGAAGTCATGGAGAAGCAAAACAAAAGTGAAAAATATAGATACACACAAGCATATATATGTGTATTTATGTGTGTGTATATATCACATGTATTTTATAGATACACACATATATTTTATATATACACATAGCACACACACACACACACACACACACACACACACACACACACACATATATATATATATAAACACCAATCGAACTGTTTTCAGAAATGTATCATCCCGTGAAGAACTGTCCTTTGTGTTACTGGTAGAAGCATGAATTGCTGCAACCATTTTGGGAAAACCAAAACAAAAATGCCCCACAGTCTTGAAATCCTATTAAAGTAAAAACAAAAGCAAACAACAAGGCAGACTAGCTCAGGCCAAAAAATTCTACTCTTAAGGACTGTGTCCTATAGAAATGGAAGTACCGAGTGCTAGGATTAAAATAAATAATAAAAACATTACCTCAGTGGAAGCAGTTGAGCAACCCACGGTAAAAACATTTACTGAAGGTTGAAAAGATACAGGTTTTAGGTGGACAAAAAGAAAATTGCCTCCCAAAATCAGATATATAGAGAGATTTTCTAAATAATATAAAATTATAGCTAGATGGGGGAAAAATTTCTGGTGTTTCGTAAGTCTGTAGGATGGCTATAAGTAAGAATAATATATAGTTTCCAATAGCTACGAGAAGGATATTGGACATTCCCAACACAAAGAAATGATGAATGTTTGAGATGATGGATATGCTATGCACCCTATCTAATCACTATACATTATGTGTATAGAAATCTCACCATGCAGCCCATAAATATATGTGATTATTATTTGTAAATTAAAAAACTAAAGCAACAAAAATCTAACTAGAGAAGAATACATGCTAATATTATTTAATGTTAATATTTGAGCCCCTTTACCAAATATCTTAAACTTCTACTGAAGTATTATATTGATAAAAGTTTTCAGTCTTTCATTGGTAACTGGGCATATATCCGTATCCGCTGGTCTACAGTGTTGGCCTGTAGACCACTACAAAGCCTTTGAAAAATGCTGATTCTTGCCTTATAAATGCATTTCCCAAAACCTGAGTAAAGGGAACATGTTATGTACCCTCTGGGATTTATTTAGTAATAAGTGAGTAGATTCAACATAATAAATCAACTTCAGCATTCTCATATCCTCAAACCTGAGGATACTTCCTTCTGTGGTACTCTAAGGATGTTCTAATATCTGAATTTTAATGGAGATTACTTTTGGGTTTAGATTTCAGTCAACCAACTGATTATTATAGCTGCTGCCAGCCGCTAGGTTAATAGATTGAACCCATTTTTTTGGTTTATTTAGCATTTTTCTGTCAATATTTTCAGCCTGATCCAACATTACATCCCTTTCACCCCAAGTTGGCACCCACAAGATTGTTTCTCTTGATTATTCTCAGACTTCTGTTTATTATTTTGTTGTTATTTGCATGTATGCTACCATCTCATGAATTCCAATACCTGACTTCCTTTGTGGGTCTGGCTGAAATGTGAGTCTAGTCATGTCTTGAGACAGTGAGACTGAGGGGTAGTTCTTAATGCGAATCAGCATTGCCTTACAAATCAACAGTTTGATTGAGGCTATGATAGGACTGTTAAGCAAAGGATTTGCCATTAAAATATAATGCAGATTTTAGAAAGCAACATTTTTTGACAATAGTGTACATCCATCTGACATCACTTATATCCAGAGTAAAAGAAGGAAACAATACATAGATTATTTAGTAAAACTACCATGTAATAAAGGTACAGAAAAGTGTATGCAACTCAACAAACAAATACAAACAGTGACTAACTCTGAAAGCAAGAACATGTGTGCAACCAGAGAGGCTTCTTCAGGTATCTTCAACAGTACAGATAATGTTATTTTTTTCTTTATTTATATTCTAAGTGCGTAGATATTCACTGTAGTAATAGAATGCTTCATGGCTATTTAATTTAGCTTTACACATTAAAAATAATAATCTGTATGCATCACTAATCAATTTGAGAAATAAACATGCAAATATATGAAATATTTGTCTCTTTCATCTATGATTTAATGAGAAATAAATAATAAATATCTGTTTATTATTATTACAGATAATAATTTATCTGTAATAAATATCTCATAGACATACATCAGATGAAACTGACTTTTTCTTTATTTCAATTTGTCCAAATTGTTGCAAAACATTTTATCATTGTAAATAATAATAAATATCTGTTTATTATTATTATTACAGATAAATAATAATTTATCTGTAATAAATATCTCATAGAAATTTATCTGTAATATATATCTCATAGAAAGACACACACCAAATGAAACTGACTTTCTCTTTATTTCAACTTGTCCAAATTGTTACAAAACATTTTATCATTGTAAAACAAATCAAATAAGTAAAATTTGAGGTAAAATTATATGACTACTAGAAGCAGATTTAATTATTTAATTTCTGGAAGACTAAGTTAGATATGTAAGAAAATGTGAAAAACACGTACTGGATTGGTTGGGTATTATGGTTAGGGCAAAGAAAAGTAAACAAACGTAACTCCAGTCTAATCAGGAATAAAGTACCAGACAACTCTCAACAGACGGGCATTCTACAAAGCACCTGACCAATCTGTTTCAAAACTGTCAAAGTCAACAAAAATGAGAAAAATGTGAGAAACTATCAAGAGGAGAGGAGCCTAATGAGACATGACAACTCAAAATAATGTCATACCCTAGGTAGAACCCTGGAACAGAAAAGGACTATAGGTAAAAACCAAAGAAACCTGAATAAAATGTGGTTAGTCAATAATAAGCGTTAACTTTTGTTCATTAATTAGAATGAAGACACCATGATGATGTAAGATGTTAATAATAGAGAAAAAAAGGTAGGGAATTGGGTGTATTAGAACTGTCTGTACTTGCTTCATAATTATTCTGTATATCAAAAACAATTGTAAAAAATAAAATTTACTTAAAATTTTTATTAAGAAGTAATTCAAAACATTGTCATGGAAGTAATATGGTCATTAGGCTGTATGATCCAAGTGATTAAAATTTAAATATGCCTATATAACTTTAGGAGGAAATATACCCAATATTATCATTTAATGCATTTTGTTTAAAATTAGTCAAAATTAATAAAAATCCAGGATGACTAATTACTGTAGAAATACTATTAGAATCTGAATATTTTTTTCAGGGGGAATATATATACATTTTGTAAATGTGGTAGAGGAATGGACCATTTATGTTTTTACCTGTTCAATCCAATATAAATTGATTATTTTTAATTCAGCAATTCAACATAAGTAGGAGAATAATCGGAACATTTCTTCTAATTAGACATTTTATACAGATTACAATATTTACAGTAAAATTTGAGGCATCTTAAACATGTTAGTAATAGCATAAAGATATTTTCAGTTCGTAATATCATTAACATCTTTGAAACAATTAGTAAGTTATTTAATGTGCTAAGGTATTTCTTACCTATCCATCAGCAAATAACATTGTCTTCTGTGGTGAACATCCAAATATTAAACCTAGTATAAAATATTAATGTTTTAAGAGAAGGAATATAATTATTGATTTTTATAAAGATGAAATCAGTACTGTGTTATTTCATATAATGTAGTAATAATGAATATCAAGATATTCAACTCAATTTTTTATTAGCTCTCCACTTCTTATTAAAGTAGAATTTTTTATTCAAAGATTTTATCATATTTATTCTGATGTCTTAAATGTCCCCGAGTCCATTAGAAAACTCTCTTTTTTAATTTGCTCAAAAGGAACATCATCCTGTGTCCTTGAAGTAAAAATCACACTGCTGTTACATCCTGATAACTATGGTTTGGGCTTGTACTGGGGCAATGATATGTAAATGATGTGTTGTTTCAAAGTGTCTGCAAAGCGTTTTGGAGGAAGATAAGCTTGAAGTCAAAGGTTAAATATGAAATTGAACTGAATGATCTCAGAGAAAACTGAAGTGCTGACAACAGCAGCACAACTCAATCCTTGGGTTGACCTCAGCAGCCTAGGCAGCCTGCAGCCCTATAATGATCTAAGCAAATTAAAAAGAAATAAAAATATGCTAACGTTTTAGCAATAAGCTCTTAAGCAAAATCATATGAAGTATCGCATCTTATAAAAGAATCCTGAGATACATAATATCTTTCTATGTGGGCTAAACTCAAGGATATTCCCTGCATTTTCCTGTGGATTAGGTAACCGATATTTTATATCATTGCCAGATAAAACAATAGTTGTCCATGTGTTAGTGCATGTTTTTGTGGGGCCTCTCTCTATGTATTTTAACACAAATACATATTATATTCAGATATACAATTTC